TTGTTGACATTATTTTGTAGTTCGGTGTAGGTGTGCTCCGATATCGTCTAGATCTATACTGTTTGTTGCTACCCATTTCTGTTAGATCACTGTTTCATCATTTTAGTTGGTTTCAGTAAATAAAATGTCTTAGTCTTACTTTGATTCCACACATTTGTATTTTTATATTGAAGTTTTAAATTCCAACCACAGTTCAGTATAAATCTAAGAAACTTTTATCTTTTGTTTTTTCAAACGAATTTGCTTAGGCTGCCAGTTTCGGTGGGTCTAATATCGATCCCACTGCATGGGAGGATAAGAAGTGTAAAGGTGAATCTAGATTCCCAGCGCAGGTACTGATAACATTTGTCATTATGTTCATTTCTCATTTCCTTTTGATTGTTTTTTTGCTCTGACACCTTCATCTTGTTAGGTGAGGATCCGCATTAGGAAGCTTTGCAAGCCGTTGGAAGAGGATTCCTTCAGGCCAGTTTTGCACCATTATGATGGCCCAAAGTTTCGCCTTGAGCTCTCCATCGCGGAGGTATATAGCATATCCAGTCTGCTGTGCACAGGAATATACAATGAAAGCTCCCTTGTATAATGAAACTTTATTAGCGTTGCTATGCACGGGGATACACTTTGTTCTGCACGAAGCACAACATTCTCTTGTTTAAAAGCATAATTGTGACTTTCTCGATGTCTCCTGTGCAATTCCATGCATGTCATTTGCATCGTTTGTCTGATATTGAGCATAAAATGGATGATGTTTTCAGCTAACCCTCCTTCAAAGAAGCATGTCAATACCCTTGTGCCATTGACATGCTGGTATTATAGAACTTATGGGCATGGAATTTACTTTTAGATTTGGGCCAGACTATTTTATTTTCGTTATGCATCATCTCATAATGTTGTTGTCCAGTTGTCATGTCAATCATTCTCATGAAATTTAAATTTGCAGACCTTGTCGCTGCTAGACCTATGCGAGAAGGAAGGCATCTGAGCTGTTGGGGAGGTGGTTGCCTTGTGAGCTTCTAGTAAATATCAATCATCCTTGTATGTTTTGTGGATGGTGATTGGCAATGTTGTTTATTTAAGCGCAAGCTGCTGCTAGTTTTGTTTTTCCCTACCCTGGATGGAAGCAAGGACCTGGTACTTGAAGGCCCCTCAAACAAGCTGTGAGCCTGTCAGTGTACTGCGTTGTGTCTGTCGTCGTCAAGAACCAAACCAATCTTGGACCAACTGAGTTGGAGTGTGTATGTTTTGCTATCTATCTACATGTCTTAGTAGAGTGGGTATACCTGGGCAGAATGGGTCCCCAAAAGATGGGTGTCTGTCTGTATACTATGTGTAATGGTTAAGATGCATGCGGCCCTAAGTAAGGGCCGGTGATGTCAGTTGCCGGTGCTCCGGGTGTGTATTTTATACTCTGTTGTACCTTGAACCTCCTTTGCATTTGCCTTAATGCTGCTGCTTTTTGCACTGTCACGGTGTGTTGGCTTCTGGTTCATGTTATGCTGTGCGCATTTGCGCTGTAGTACAGCCCAGAATCTTTCATTGATTTCATAATCTTTCATGATTTATTTAATCAGTTTGGATGCTGTGGATGCCAAAAGCTATAGTTTATTTATAATATGGTGGCTTGTGGAACATTGTGTCCGACCGCAGGTTTTGGGTTGCAGGTGCACCAACCGGACTTGGTGTAAACGACATATAAAAGTTGGTTGATTGCATCTGTTCAACTGCTCTCGCCTCTCGGTCAGTGACAGGCAAGTACTAGCAGCTGGCTGTTGGTGAACTGTCTGTCTGGACATGCCTTTCAGCTGGTGAGTGCTGCTGCTCTCATCGGAGGGTATGCTGTCAGTAATCCAAGGCCCAGAAATCCCAGTCGTGAACCGTTGGACAATTGACGTTTCAGCTTTGAAGCGATTAAATTGGTTTACATCCGTTCATCTCATTGTGAGCGATGTTCGTCTCTAGATGTTAAAGAAGAAAGGGTGACTGACCCACAGGTGGGGAGGAGATACCCACGGAAATGAAATAATCTAATTCTTTTTTTTTCATTTGTTTTATTAGGAGATAGAGAGGGATAGAAATATATGATGACTGTCCCACGAAGATATTCTCCTAGCGGTGCGTTTGGCAACTATAGCCTACCCTACCCTAGGGAAGGAGGCAAGGAACACATGCATAACGATATGTATTATGTTTTTGTCACTATAGAAACTTCAACCTCCATCTTGAGCTTGGAATCGCCAATAATCTGAAAATGAATACCAAGTTTGTCAAGGGAAAAAATGGTGCTTTGCCTCCTTCCATACGGTACCCAACTTGCACTTCTCTCCGTGGGGACTTGCTGATTTATCAATGATAAATTGGCTTTACAAAGTCTCTCTATTAACTCTGCTATATTATCTTTCGATCTTTGAACCTCTTTGTTGACTAGGTAACTCAACAATTTCAAGTTAACTTCTGAAATCTATAAGACTGAAGCCAGCAGCAGGGAGGTAATGCCAAAGTACACGTACTCCAGTCACCTTCGAGGTGTTTGTTCAAGTAATGCAAAGTAAACCATTAAAGCATTCATGTAATCCATAACGATGTGTTCTAGATGGTAGAAGCTGTCAACATTCTACTCACGGGCCGCAAAGCATAGAAAGCAAGGAAGAAATTGGATCGAGTAGGTCTTTGGTTCTGTGATGTTTGATTTGGTTGCAATTAACTCATTTTTCAATGAATCAAATCAACTGACCAACGACTCTGTAACTCCAGGCACAAGCAGATACCTACATGCTAAAGAAAGCACCAGCATCATCCACACCCACTCGATCTCTACTTACCCAGCTTGGGACAACCAAGCAATGCTATTTCTGAGTGGGACAAGGAGAGTAATATAGGATTCTTCTTGGTCTTAATGTCAGCTGTATGTGTAAATTAAATAGCTTAGCAATTAACAGCTAGCGAAGATATGCCGGAACTATTGTGCGCAAGCCTCCATTCTGATAAGTTAGTGTTGTTTTATGTAGGCCTGCCATATCTGTTTCATTTCTGTTCTAAGGTCATTGCTATTTTTGCTAGATTTCTCAGGTATTGTAACTGGTGCTACTGCTGCATAGAAATTTTGCTGCACAAAGACAGTGGGAAGGGGAAGATAGTGAAGAGCTGAGCAATTATGCATCCAATGGACATATAGACCACTCACATGAACTCTTCATCTGCACAAAAAAAAAGATACACTTAATGCAGCCTTAGTGTTCTGGTAGTTTTGTTATTGGCAAGCTTCAGAGGGGATCAAGTATCAATGGGCAGTTGAGAACTAAGATGTCCAGCCGGATTGATTGCCCATGCTTGAGATTCAACCAATATGTCCAGCCGGATTGATTGTCCATGCTTGAGATTTAGGCGCCAAGCCTCTCGTAACTATATAAAGTGAATCTGGTGACTAATGAGAGAAGCTAATGTAATGTTGACATTGATTTGTTTTTTTTAAGGAATGTATCTCACAAGCTCAGAAGATTCAGCAATATGTCCTTTTTTCTCCGTGTTTGAGTACTTCAGAGAATTACCAATGCTAAGACGCCACTAATGTCATGTTTTCTAGAGATCTAGAGAAACTGGTACATATATTCTATTTATTTTGCATTGATCATTGTAGAATCTGACTATTGTTGCTATTTTACGATGTTTTATTTTGGTAATGGGACAGAAGAAAAGAATAATTAATTAGGTTTTGTATTACAAAAGTTATACACAGTTTGCAATTGGCTGTGCAATTTTTTAAAAACTAATTTTCACGGGCTCAGACAATTTTAGTACAAATTTATGGCGTGTAGCGACACGCTGGCCAATACCTAGTAGTGTAATACAGATGTGTGGTGGCTACATTGATGAGTCATAACTTTATAAGTGAATATCACAGAATTTCCCAGGTATATCACAACAAAGAAATTGAGTTTACAACATAAATAGTTACTTCATGTATTTCAGAATTTATAATATTTTTTTCTCGAACTACGCAGGAGATCTGTGAAGGGCAGGCCTGGTGCAGTGGTGAGAGTTGTCTCGCTGAGTCACCAGGTCGTGGGTTCGAAGCAGCCTCTCCGCAGATTTTGCAGGGGAAAGGCTTGTCTCGGTTTATCCCTTCCCCAGATCCCACTCATGTGGGAGTCTCCGGCACTGGGTCTGCCCCTTTTTTTACGCAGGAGATCTGCGTATCATTTCATTAAGATAGAGGAGTACAAGACCTGCTGGATTTAAAAAGAAACCCAGCAAGCCGAAAAAAACAAACAAAACCCCACAGACCCACCCAAACCGAAAAGGAAGGGGTGGGGATGGCTCTATACATGACCAGTAGAATTTATAATATAACAAGGCAATTCTTCTGTATTAGCCTTCTCATATGGTCACACTGTTCATTTGTTTGATTTATACTGCATAACGATGCACAATGTGCAATTGTGCATGTGTTGTGCAGGTGGCAGATGATTAATGCCTAAATTTGATTATAAAGGTATTTGCAGACAGCAGATGCCATAACAAAAACATTCCATTCATTGATTCAATAGTATGCAAGCAGCAGCAAATGGATCAGGTGAGTTGAACCTTGTCTGGAAAATGTAAAAAACGAAAAATTTACATTTAACTCTGAGTTCCCTTTGACATCTACGGTCAAGTTCTTGTTCTTTGAATGGATCCACACCAACGAAGAGGTCAGGTTTCTTTGTGCTGGTAGCGGTGACAAGCTGCATGAAAAAGTAACAGAGAACATTAAAATTATACAGAACAATGTGATAGCCATGAATTCATGCATATTATTCCAACATACTAACAATTTTCAGTACAAGTACGTAGGCAGCATTAGGAGAGCACCACACACAAATACACACTATTCTAACTTACTCATAATTTTCAGTACAAGTGTGTAGGCAGCATTAAGGGATCAAATACCAAACGATTAATTGTTACATCACACAAGGCTTACCATTTAGACCCCAGCATACATAATTCCAGATTCCGACGCATCAATGAAAAATGCAAGCTGCAAAATTTATCATGAGTTAAGAAACACAATTATGGTAACAGCACAACTGGGGTTGAATACCATCATTATACTATCCATGTTTTTCAAGTAGGTTATTGGCAAATCATAAACCAAGCAAAGTTGTACCTGGAGTGCAGAAGCCCGTGTAGGGAACAACACAGGGAACACGACCGAGGTAGTCAAATACATCACATTCCTCCTCGTATACCTTCCTCACCCGACCAGACTTAAGATTGAAACTGAATAATCCATCATCATACGTCGCCACAAAAAAGACACCAACAGCATGCGCAAAGCCAAGGAAACTACAAAAGATGGAGTCGGCATCGACAGGAAGCAGCTTCTCAAGCTCAATGACTCTAGTCTGTGTCCATCCCATGTCTCCGTTCGGATTCGCCTCCATTGACCAGAGGGAGAGTCTGGCGTCCATATCCACTCTTGCAAATCCCAGACCACCACCATCCTCCATCGCCATGAGCACAGTAGCACACTTGGAAGCTGGAGGTAGGTGAATCACAGATGTTTCCAATGTGGCCAAGTCAAAACTAAGAACCCCTGCGCCAGAATCAGCCATGAAGTAGAGTGTGTTCCCCACAAAGGGCAGTGGGTGCGTTATCTACAATGCACTCGGGGAGCAGAGTCTGCTCGCTCCAAGAGGCATCCTCCGATGAGTAGACGCGCAAGCACCTGCGCTGGTTGTGGCTCTGGGTGACCACGCGAACGACGACGAAGGGCATGTTGTCGTGGCAGTCGAGGTGGCCGTTGGCAGTGGACGCGGAGAGCACAGTAGCGTACCACTCGAAGCGGTCGCAGTCGCAGATATCAGGGACTGGGAATATCTCCCATCGCTCGGCGGTTGTTGGGTTCCAGACGACGAGGAGGTCGTCCTGGTCCTCACCCACGACGAAGTAGAGGAGGACGAGGCCGTGGCGTGCGTCGAGCGCGACGCAGTCCCAGTCCCAGACCACCTCCTCCTCCACCACCCCCTCGCAGTCATGGAGCGCGATCAGGTCGTCGGCGTTTGGCGGGCGGAAGGAGGAGGTGGGGACGAATCGGGCGTTGGGGTTGGAGGTGTTGCAGAGGAAGCCGAGCAGTGGAGCTACGCGGTGGAATTCCATGAATCGGCGGCGGAAGCTGGGGCCGCAGACGATGCGGTACCAGGGCTTGCAGACGAGTGCGGCGCGGACGAGGCTCGCGGGGTCGGCCGGTGGGAAGCGGAGGAGGATCTCTCCGACGACGTCATCCGGCAGCACCTCCATAGTGCCTTCCAGCTCGGGAGGCCGGCCACAGCGGCGCAAGCACGGGGCGGAGGCGGAGCAGGGTAGGTAGGCCTTCCGTTCCATTTTGCTGCGGGCTTTGCTAGCAGGCCAAGGCCCAGTACCAGCCCGCAGCCTTTCTGTGGAGGGAGGCGCCCTGCCCTGCACCTGGAGCTCTGTGGAGGACCGGGAGGCCTGCACTGCACTGACTCAAGTACTCAGCTCAACTTCCACTCAAATCAAAAAAAAAAAAAAATCAAAAAAAAAAGTACTCAGCTCAACTCTGCAGTCTGAAGAGGCCAAGCGTCCAAGTTTTGTAGACAGCGCAACAGAGCTTTAGATTTGGTGTGTTTAACAGAGCGAATCTGAAAGCAATAATCCAATGAGAGAAAACATGATCAGATTCAATGCTAGTAGTATTTGGGTCCACCACAAAATTCCATCAGTAGTTTGAAGCAACCATTTTGCATGTGTAATGAAACAGTCAAAATTTTATCACCGGAAGAAAAAAGGCAGGCTAAATTTCCAATAAAGAAACTACCTCAAAACGTGCCAGGGGTCCATTTTCTGATTCTATTGATTCATCAAAAGCTTCCTTTCCTTAGCCTCATCAAAAACATCACTCAACGGTTCCACTGGGGCAGGACCTCCATCATTTCCAACAGAAATCCGTTCATGGGACTTGCTGTTAGAGCTTGCTGAGGAGAGATATTATGGACCACAATGTTCACCGGCTAATATACACTAGTCTGTTGTAAAAGTCTAGATGAGCATATGCATTACAGCGTAGAAGAGCAAGCAGTGCACAAACACAGCCTCAGTATTTGTTATTCAGAGAACTCTAGCCATTCAGGCATAAGGTATTTGAGACAAGAAAGCGTGTCGGTATAACTCGTTACATAACAAGAATCCGTGTCTACATCTCCATTCATCAAGGCTCAGCAGATAGACAAACAGCAGAGTTGTCTATCAGAGGACGTGGACTGGATTTCGATATTGTCAATTAGCCTGACCTTTCCGAACCATGCTGCGACACAAATTACACAAGGACGGTCCATCCTCTCCGCAGGCACCAAGCTTTCTTGCTCCACAATCTGCATTAACACCAAATAGAAGTCGATTTTGATTTGAATCAATAAATATGGATTCACTTGACCATAGCATGTTGCCAGAGATGGTTCTATATATGCTTTAACAAAATAACCTAATCAAAACAAGTAGTCATCGTCATATCAGGTGATTAAGCACTGGGTTCTCATAACAAAAAAAAAGTTTTGTTGTACTGAACTCTACTACCAGAGGCAATAAATTTGCAACATGTCATGCAGATTTCAGCAGTTTCCCTCCCCAGGGGAATCCAGAAGCACTATATAGTACTAAAAGAAAACAGTAAGAAGAAAAACCATGATGAGTAAACTCAACCACTAATAGAAGACCTATGAACAGTAGTATTGTTCAGGAGCAGCACGGAGGCATAGTAGAACATTACCTCAACATAGTCAGCCTGACCACCAGCTTCAGTAAGTGTCTGCACTATTTGATCTTTTATTTGTTGGCTATGATTGCTTCCATTGAGGGCAGCGGTTCTAGCATCCATCAGTGATCTACTAATTGATAACGCCTAACAAAGGAATGACCACAGTTAACAGCTAGGTTTATTGTGAGAAGGAACAAAGATGTTTACAAAAGTTACCTCCGAAGGTAATCCATATGCAGCAAAACTTTATTAACAAACAAATCAAATTGTTAAGTTGTAACAATGAAACAACAAAGCTACCGTTATCTTCTGATCTATAGCATGGAAGCAACACCACAGGGAAGGGTAATCTAGTACATGCGAAAATCAGCATAATAAGTAACAGTTTGAAAATTATGGTTTCTTCTAGAAATTTTACATGCAGTCGACTACCACATTTTAGCCTAAAATCATCATTTTTTTTTTGAAAGGACCTAAAATCGTCATATTTGCATTTTCAGATTAATTCCCATTCTTCCCTTATTATTTAGTTCTATGAATTACCTTAAGATTGTTGTGATGATAAACTGACAATAGCTTTTGGGTCTGCACAAGGACAGCGAAGCAGAACCGAAACGGTAATGGTAATTTACTAGTCGTCTTAACTTAACAGAGTATAGTTTACAACCATGGCTACTGCAGGAAAGTTGCTGCATGAATCCAACCTGATTAAATTAAACACTGAAGAAACTGGACAATAAGTTTTTTTCTACAAAATGCTTAAACCTCGCTTCTCTATTTTTTGGTGATTGTTGTACAACATAGTAAAAAAAAGGTACATTACAAAAAACAAATTGCAACTTCCAGTAAAAGACAGACCTTCTCCCTATTCTCGTGTGACAGATTTACATTGCGAGAGCTCATGGCAAGACCATCAGCTTCACGCACTATTTCCGAACCAACTATATGTATAGCAAAATCGAGATCGCGAACCTGAAAACAGCAAGAGCTTGTATCAGTAACACAAAGAAATCAAATAAACTTGATCTGAGATAAATAGCTAAGACACATTACATGGGGCTAGAGTTGAAGTGAACATGAAAACAGAAAACAAGCAAAGTTGGCTTCTAAAGAGATACCCGGTGCCAATTTTTTGTTTTCTTTTAGGGGAGTTGGTGCTAGGTTTTCAGCTTGGTGAAAGCAGCAATAAACCAGAGGTCCGAAGCAAAAGTCATTGTCTGAATGGTTACAGTTCCCCATCAGTCGATGGCCTGGCCTATTTGGTTTCATGTTTCAATTTGCCATGGCTGTCTTTTTCTGCAGAATCTAAACAGAAGAAATTATGTATGTGTGTCGATGTCAAAGTTATTACCATCCGGCAAATGACGCGCCACTGTTGATAATCCTTTTTCCCGAACACAGCGACGTCCGGCTCGACGACGTTAAACAGCTTGGCGACCACGGTGGCCACGCCGCGGAAGAAGATAGGCCTGCTGCTCCCGCACAGCCCCTTCTCCAGCCGCTCCACCCGAATCCACGTTTCGTGCGCATGCCCGCATCCTCCAGGCACGACACCGCGTCCCCGGACGCGCCGGCGGCGGAGGGGCGGTCAGCGCTGCCGCGGACGTAGAAGGTCCGGGGGCAGAAGATTGCGGCGACGACCCCGGTGGCGGCCAGCTTGCGGAGGTCGCCGGCGAAGTCGGAGGGGTACGTGGCGAGGTCCTCAGTGGGGGCGAACTGGCTGGGGTTAACGTAGATGGAGACGACGACGGCTACGGGGCCGGCGGAGGCCGCCACGGCCGCGGAGACGAGCGAGAGGTGGCCCTCGTGGAGGAAGCCCATCGTGGGGACTAAAGCGACGGCCTTTCCCTCCGCGCGGCGGCGGCGCGACCAAGCGCGCATCGCCGCCTTGTCGCGGATCACCTCCGGCTCATGTACCGCCGCCGCCGCCGCCACGAGTCAAAATGGAACAGAAATACTATACCACCCACGTGTGTTTTAGAAAAAAAAAATTCTCTATCTTTCCCTCCGTTCTGCTGACGCCGCGCAACGCACGCAGGCGTCCAATCCCGCCCGCTCCGTCGCTATGCCCGGACTGCCAACTGCCAACTGCGATCGAGTGGCCAGTCGAAGCGAAGCGATCGAAGAGAATCCGGCTCCAGTAGGCCTCTCCTTCTCTACGATGTGATTCGTTCTTTTACGGAAAAAAATTATTTCTCGTAATGCATGTGATTTGTTATTATCTGACGATAGATAGAAGAAGACTAAAAGATGGAGTTAAAAGAAAAGTAAAGGCTTTTGAGTAAAAGAAAAGTAAAGGCTGTTGAATTTTAATTTTATGATAAAAAAAATTTATGTGTTGAAACTACAGTAGACATACTCAAATGGAATCAGACGCACAGACTCGGAACAAATCAGAAACCGAAATTCGTTAACAATAAATGGGGGGAAGACGAAATTCGTTAGCAATAAATGGGAGTGGGATGCGGATGCGGCAGCACTGCAGCAGATGAGGAAGACGGCGGTGACTCGTGAGAAAATGGAACCAAAGCCAGCCGCCCAGTGGGAGGGAAAGCAACGAATTTTCCTACGACTCTTTCAAAAGCAGTACTGTGCATACCGTCGGTAGCATCCAGGGTAGACTTTTTTTTTTTTTGAAAAATTAGGGTGGACTCTTTCGTGGGCTCGATAAGCGTCTGGCATGGCTAAGGGACCTATCAACTGACCCCTGCCTTCTCTTCGAGGCTTTTATCAGTGTGTCATTATAAAAGTCAATAATTACTCATAAGTCATTAAAAAAATTGAGTTCTCATAGGTGTCATTGCTCTGAACTCTTTTATCCTACACGCCATTTCTGTCAGATTTAGCACTAACGGTGTCAAACTGCGGGTGTAAAAAGTCAAAAATACCCTTAGATTTGAATATGTAATTAATTTTTTGAGCATCTTAACGATCTTAAATGAAAAAACTCAAAACTAGAAAGTTATAAATCTCATCGAGATCTACAATATTTATATAAAAATTATTTTCATTTAATTCTATATAAAAATGTGATTTTTCTAAGACATATTAATCATATCAAATCATTTTTTACGGAATTAAATGAAAGATATTTTTTTTACAAAAAATGTAGATATTGTTGAGATCTATAACTTTCTAGTTTTTATTTTTTTTATTTGAGGTCATTAACATGCTCAAAAAAATTAATTGCGTATTCAGACCTGAGGGTATTTTTGACTTTTCGCGCCCACGATTTGACACCGTTAGGCTAAATCTGACAGAAGTGGCATGAAGGGTAAAAGAGTTCAGAGCATAGGAATCTGTGAGAACTCAACTTTTTTAGTGGCTTATATGTAATTACCAACTTTTATAATAGCACACAGGTAAAAACCTTCTCTCTCTTTTCATGAATGATGTCCTTCCTTTCGAAGGACACGACTTAACTGGCCATGGAGAAGCCAATCGCCGTCAGCGTAGCTGCTTGTGGATATTCCACCTGAAATAGAGTTGTCCGACAACCGAAGATTGCCGAGTTATGGAAGTAAGAGCACATCTAGACTTCTCCAACTTCCTCAAGTTCTTTGTACAGTTAAGAAGTACACTCAATGTTCGCTAGTTCTACTATGACAGGTAACTTTTCTTCTTTTGTTTTTCATGCTTAATCTTTTTTTCTGTTTAGCTCAGCGCAATGACTTTGCCCTTACTCTGTTTACCTTCATGCAGGCTAGAGGCCAATGATCTTGAGATTCAGACTATATCATGGCCCAAAATAACCGAGAAGGTTGTCCTGCTCAAGAAATCTCAAAAAATTTGTGCTGTCATGATCTTATCAGGGAAATCATGAGAAAAGAAAATTATTTTATTGGGATGGTCAATAAAGGCATTCTTTCATTTCCAATTCATTCTTGTGTGATTTTTTTTTTTTTTGTAAAATATAGTTGGCTAAAATGCTTTAGTCTCGACATGACCAAGCTATGTGCTTGTTTTAACATGCTACTGTTTCTTTACATATTAGCTCAGCCCAGATCAACTAAGCTGTTTATGGAAAAAAAGGGGACACCTAGACCCTTAAGAAGGCATAAGCTGGTAGGCTGTTGCTTCAGAACATAGCTGCATCAGAAGTCTAAAATAAATCGGCCAACTGTCAATACTAATCTTTATTAATTTAATACTTATTTTAGTTCAGAACTTCCATCATAACATGTACTACAATGTGTATACTTGCATACCGATTTCTAAGTTTTAACACAATCTGTACTAATACATTTTCTAGGCCACTCGATGTATTGTGTCATATTCCTTGTTTGTAGTAGCACATGATAGTTTAAGTGTAGAAGGCGGCTTAACATGGACATAAGGTCAGTATATAGAATATTACACGCACATGATAGTTTGCTTGATTGTGAATAAATCTTTCTAACAGACACGTGCCGTGCATGTCCACTAGTATGCATAATGCATCGCTATTGTATTTGACACCCTCATCCATGCTAAGATTGTTGAGCAACAATCATCATCTACACAGTCTGGAACTTTTTTTTTTTTTTGATAAGTGGACGGGAAGGGACAGAATCCCCCACCTGATAGATATATTAATCATGATCAGGGACGGAGGGAGAGGGGGCCAACCCCCCCAACCTCCCTAATACCCCACTATATAACCCCTTAATTAGCTAATAAAAATTACTAATTAGTGTTGTATCATCTCTTCTTTGTGTTAGTCTTTCTTTTGTATCGCAAAACAAATATTGATTTGGTTATTATTTATACTCTTGCTAACTTAATATACCTATATGTGTATGTACGCGCGCATATTTTATCATATGTGGTTATCATTGGTATACCAAAACGGCCCTCCCTGTGGTCAAATCCTGGCTCCGTCCCTGATCATGATTGGCTCTCAAATAGCCATGTAGTTTATAAACATTTTAGTGAATCATAGCTGCTACAGTTACATTGCGTTGGTTAAAGCAGTGCACCAATCATCGGCAATGTGTCTATCATCACGTGGAAGCCGCGCTGACCACATTGTTGAGCCTGGAACTTATGGAAAGAAAGATGCCGAAGAGTGTTTGAGAACACAGCGCGAACTGCAGAACAACTGCTTGCGACAATCAGAGAAGACCTTGAGGCAGTTCAGAACGCATGGGAGGAGTGAGCTGTAGATGTGGACTTTGATTTCGTTGTGCCTTTTTCTCTAACTTCCTTTTATTCGGTTTCCTGTTTAGTCTGCTTCTCTCGTTGCTCTTATTCCCTTTTTAGTTTTAACTCCCTGTACATTTTGACACTCCTTTCTACTAAATGAAAAGGCAGAGCACCTGCCCTTGCTGCTCAAAAAAAAATTTTGTTGCACCACATCCCCTTGGATGGTCCGCTGGTGGTATTTCGGCTGATTCAATAGTGTTTCTGTGAGGGAGAATAAGCCGAAATAAGCACAAGCCGGCAGAAAAGTAGATGAGCAGAACAGGGTGGATATCTCGTCCGCTGCATCCACTTGTCGTTGTGGTAGGCCTAGGAGAGAACAATGGATAAACAGTTTCCTTTCAAGGTCAAGGAGATCTCTTCATTAATCATTACTGTATGCCGAAGCAGGACAAGCAATGCTGCTATACTAAGAAGATGCTCAGCATTATTACAATTCAGCAAGGGGGAACAGTATTTGAAGAATTGAATTTCTTGCCGAGCCCTTTGATATCCAAAAGGATTTTCCACCCGATTCTTACACATATCAACAATGAGTACAGACCATGACACACAGGTACCACACCACTGGCCTGTTGTGGTCACTACGATTGGTAAATGGTTGCATCAGTTTCGGCTGATCCATAAACTTTTCAGAGCCGCGGAGATCTTTGGCCTCGAAAAGTATTTAGCCCCCCAAAAAAACATGTTTACCCTTTTGCGACAAAGAAACATCTCTTTTGCACTTTGCCAGTAAGCCCAGGCAACCAAGGTCGCCGGGCGGTGGATCTGCCAGTGGATCAGGCAAGAGAGTCGGTTCCCATAATCCCATGCATGATGAACCCTTCATCTGAGGGACAACTGCGTCATTCAGCATCTCATATATTTCAGCACATTGTGGATGCTCTTGATCCCTAGAGTAGAACACATGATTCCTCATGTTCACCTCAATCTGACTAAAACCAGTCGTCCTCTTCGCCTTGCTGCCCCTCATGACCTTCCACACCTTTGCTGTTTCATCCCACATTCCATGTGATGCAAATACATTGGCCAGGAGCCTATAGCCTCCGGAACCAGAGGGGTCAAATCTGACAAGATCCTCACCCACTTCTCTTGCTACCTCCACCTCATTATGCATCACACAGGCTCCCAGGAGCGTCGCAAGAATGGCCTCATCGCGCATACCCGGCAGCATACCATCAACAAGTTGCTTGGCTTCCCTTACATACCCTGCTCGACCTAGAAGGTCCACAAGGCAAGAGTAGTGCTCAATGGTTGGTTCTACTCCATAAACATGGTAAGTGGATTTGAACATGTTGCGACCTTTCTCAACCAACCCAGCATGCCTACAAGCAGACAGCACAGCAGTGAAGGTAGTCGAACTTGGTTTATACCCATGTCTCAGCATCTGAGCAAAGCCCTGTAAGGCATGGTAACCAAAGCCATGGTTCGCAAAAGCTTGCACTATCGACGTCCATGTTATGGCATCCTTCTCTTCCAATCTTTGGAAGGCAAACCAGGCAGACATCAGATCCCCACTTCTCGAATACATTGTGAGCAGAGCATTTCCTAAGGAAGTTTCTGACAGGAATCCAAGCGTAATAACCAACCCGTGAATTTGCTTAACTTCACCTGTGCTCTCAGATATAACCAGGATACTGATTAATGTTCTGATGTTAGGAGATACTGCTGAGCGGCGCATAAGAAGAAACATGTTTAAGGCTTCATGCTTACACTCGTTCTTAGAATATGCCTCGATGATGGTACTCCAGGTCACCAGGTCTTTTGCAAGCATTGAATCGAATAATCTCTGCACCTCATTCAACTGGCCATTGTTGGCATAAACGGTGATCATCGCATTGCATGCCGCTGTATCCTTCGCTGGCATCCGATCAAAGAACTCTCTTGCCCTGCAAGCAAGACCATTCTTTGCCAAGCCAGTGACCATTGTAGTCCAAGAAACAGCATTCCTGTGTCTGTGTGGCATCCTCTCAAACAACTGAACTGCTTCAGCCACTTTCCCAATGCTGAGAAAACCAGAAATCATGGCATTCCAGGAATACGAGTTCCTCTCTGGCATCATATCAAACAATTCCCACGCCTGCTGAATCTGACCACTGTCAACATAGGCCTTAACCATGGCCGTACAAGCGACCACATTCCTGTGAGGCATCCGATCAAACATCTCCCTCGCTTCCCTGAGCATCCCATTGCTCGTGTACCCCTGCACCACCGTCGTCCACGAATAGTCATTCCGATCAGGCATGACGTCAAACAGCTCCCGCGCCTCGCGAACGCGGCCGGCGCGGAAGTACCCGGAGACCATGGAGGTCCAAGTGACGACGTTCTTCACCGGCATCCCATCGAACAGCTCGCGCGCGCGGTCGACGCGCCCGGCCTTGGCGTACCCGCCGAGCATAACGGTGTCCAGATAGAGCCCCCGAGCAGCCGAGGGCGCCGCGCGGAAGAGCGCCTCCGCGCGCGGCAGGTCGCGCTCCCTGAGTCGGAGGGCGACCATGGCGGCGTAGGCGGCGGCGTCCCGGCCCAGCGTCTCGTAGTCATCGAGCACGGCACGAGTGGCCGCGGCGCCGTGCTGCGGCCTGGGGTCTTGGCCGGTCGTCGAGCATACGTCGTCGTGGGCTGCGCGCTGCCGCGTCGGGTTAACGGGCTCCGCGACGGTGCCGTGGAAGCGGAGGGCAGCGGTGCCGGTGGCGTCGCGCCTCCGCCGCGCGAGGCCGAGAGCGTGGGTGTCGTCGCTGCTGGTGTAACGGATGTCTCCACGGGCGCGTCGCTGCGGAGGCGGACGGGACCTCGGGACGGTGCTGTGGCGGCGGATCTGCGAGCACTGGACGAGGAGAGGGAGGACGCGCCGGCGCCGGCGAAGCATTGGGAGGGATGAAGATGACGCCGACGGGCGCGGTGGCGCGAAATTCTGCGGCCGGTCCCTCGGGTTATTCAAATATATAGCCAGGATCAAATTTGGGACAATTCTGAACCGTCCGATTGATTATGTGAGGCTCGCAATGGCGTGGGGCCCTAACACTTTAGATTACCGTCATACACGCCCTCCCCCACCCAAATTGCATTGGATTCAGCCGGGTAATGCTGGGAGCCTGACGTCCGTCCCCGCGCGGACGCCATGTTAGCGGACCCGACATCCAGAAGTTGCCATTTCTATCCACTCCCTCTGCTCTGCTCTAATAACCGTAGATTAAAAAAAATGACGCATTCGCTCTGCGACCGGCTCCACCGCCGCTCCCGCTCGTCTCCCTCTCTACTGCGTCTCCCGCCGGCCTTCCTCTCCACCACTGTCGCGGCATGCTCCCCCACGACGTCACCACGCTCGGTGTTGTCGTCTCCACCGCGGGCACCGCGCACACCCTATTGCCAAGGGCCGCACAAGTGCCCGCCCGCTGTCATCCTCCTCCACCGCGACTGCACAGCCAGGATCCCGTTGTGCCGTGCTCCGCCTGCCTGACTGCCATGGTTTGCTGAAAGCTCATGTTGCAAGCATATGTTTCGAGTGTTTCAGAGATATGTTGCAAGTGTTTCAGATGGATGTTGTAAAATTAGATCGGGATGTTGCATATGTTGCAATGGTGGTACACGTATGTTGCAAAGATATGTTACCAATGTTTCATCTGTATTTTCCGGACACATGTTGTAAGTGTGTTTATCTGAATGTTGCATATGTTTCACTCATAAGTTGCATGTGTTTTATCTAGATGTTGCATATGGTTGTAATGGTTTTAATTGTTTTCAGGTGTGTTTTTTCAAGTGTTTTAGAAGCATGTTTCAAGTGTTTCATCTGCCTTCAGACGTATGTTGCAACTGTTGTATTTGGATGTTTCAAAAGCAGATCGGGGGTTGCATCTCTCTTCCTCGCCTTCTGCTGTATCGTCTTGGTATGTCCCCCTCCCAGTGCTGGCAGAGCATCCATACGATGCCGCGGCCGGGTCCTTCCGAATTGGAGGCGCTGCCCCCTTCCCCTCTTGTCACTTTGGCGAAACGGAGTGGAGCATGCGGGTATTCATCCAGACGTCCAGGTGGTAGCACTGCTGATTTGGCAGCTATCGCAAAATTGGAAATGAAATTTTCTGAACTGGAACTCTAAACACAGATTGGATTGGACGGTGAAATGGAAATTTGTTCCTTATTCGTTACGAAAACCTCCTGATGAACGAGGAGTCCGATAAATAAAAATATAATTGCACCGTGATCACGCAAGCAAAATCTGAGACCGACGATACTCTCGATACATACACACCCAATGCAACTAAGTGATGAAGGTGGATCGGGAGAGAAATCAGCAAAGCATGGCAAGCAGAGCAACGTGGAGGCGGCGGCGACAGGAGCAGGACCGGCCGGCGGCTGGCGGCGTCTATACGAAGGCGTGCTTCTCCAGCAGCTTGAGGACGTCGTCCTGGTTGTTGAGCTTGGCCACGTCGATGGGCGTCTTCCCGTCTAGGTTCTGCAGCGTCCTGCATGAGCAATTCAATAAACCAGCAGGTCTCAGAGTCAGGCAGCTTAGCTTTCAGGTGAGCCGGCATGGCAAATCGGCGGGGCGGGCGGGCGGCTTACACGGCGGCGCCGCTCTCGAGCAGGAGCGCGACGCAGTCCTTGCGGCCGTATCCGGCGGCGTAGTGCAGCGCGGTGTTCTTGTTCTTGTCGACGGCGTCCACGGCGGCGCCGGCCTCCAGGAGCGCCTGCGCGCACTGGAGCTCGCCATAGCCGCACGCGAAGTGGAGGCCACGCCGCCCTTCCGAGTCCTCCTCGTCCTTGTCCGCGCCCTCCTCCAGCGCTTTCTTCAGGCCCTGCGTGCAGCTCCGACGACCAGGTGTCAGGTGATCAAATGTGCAAGGCGTAACGTATCGTACATAACCACGTGGCAGTGGCAGCGGCACAGACCTCGACGTCGCCGACGCTCGCGGTGTGGTGGACGATGGACTCGTCCTCGTACTCACCTTCCTCCCCGGCGTCGTCCTCCGCCTCGGCGTGCTCCGTGCCGCCGGACGGGCCGCCGCCGACGCCCATCGCGCGCCCGAACTTCTGCAGAGCCTCGGGGTCGTTCCAGTACCTGAACCATCAAACACGCATTCGATCATTCGTTCACCATGGTAGTTCTTGCTTCCCGTACTCGATCATCGCTTGTTCAAGGAACAAAGCAAGCCACAGCAACTCACTTCATCATGGCGGCGGGGCCGCCGGACTCGATCTCGTCGAGGATGGGCTTGAGCTCGGGGTCATCCTTCATGCGCGCGACGCGGGCCTCCAGCTGCTCCTTGTGCGCCGGGTTGGTGAGGCCTCCCAGCATGGTGGACACGGCCGGGTCCTGCATCAGCGCGCTGCCCAGCCGCTCCGCCATGGCCACGAACTGCGGGTTCTGCATCAGCTGCTGCATCGTCGCCACGTACTTCTGCGGGTCCAGCTGCGCCGCCGGCGCCTGCTGCCGCTGCTGCTGCTGCCGCGGGGACACCACCGTCTTCTGTAGCTGCTCCGCCATCTCCGTGAACGCCGGGTCCTTGGCAATCTGCTCTGCCATCTCCTTGATGCTAGGGTCCTGCCGACGACAACTCAACATTTGTCAACCAAGAAAGATGTCGAGGGCCGGCCATCGTCGGAAATTCACAAGGTAGGCGGTAGGCCAATTAATCAACCTCTTTCAACTGTAATATGATCAAACTCGGCTAAATGTCACAAAATTTGATTCCTTTTTTTAAGTTAAGTTTGTTATATGTATAATTGTTGCTACCAAGTTTCATATGGAACATCTCGAGTTTTGCAAAAGCATCTGATGAGCAAAAGGAGGAAGACGACTCAGCAGCGTACATTGAGAAGGTTCATCATGGTGGAGAAGTCGAAGGGGTTGGCCGGCGCCGACGGCCCTGCCCTGCGCGCCGCCCCAGCTGGCTTAGGCTGAGGCTGAGGCTGCTGCTCCGCCGCCGGCGCAGGCTCCTCTGTCGTGACAGCAGCAGCAGTCTTCTCCTCTGCACAAACACCACCACAAGTCGTCTTGAGCTTCTCGATTACTTCATTTCATGGCCACAAATCGAGCACGCCAAGAACAGATGAACAGAACAGAAGAGAAAGCATGGCATGGAGAAGAATCAAATCAAATCAAATCCCTGACCTTGCGCAGCCATGTCGACGGGGGCGGGGAAGAAGGAAGCGCTGGCGATGAACCGAGCGAGCGAGCGAGAATGACGATAAGGTGGGTGCCTCTGGCTGCAGCTGTGGAGAGGAGCTGAGCTGAGGAGGGAAGGCGACCGACCAGAGGCACCCACGCCGTGATTTGGCTTATATAGCGTTTGTTGAGTGATTGCAATTTGTACACATGGATGATGGATGCTGCAAGGAGCATCTCCTTTCACAGATAATAACAAAAAAAAGAGAGAGGTAAAAGCACCACCACCACAGGTAGATCTCCTTGCAATTGCAAGTCTTCAGTGTTTTTGCATTTTTTTTTCAGGGTGGTTTTGCAGGTAAAGAAAATCGTTTTTTCAGGCTTTGTTGGTGCACATCTTGCTCTTTTAAGTTGTCAATGAAATGAAAAGGTTTGCTCTTTTGAAATGGAGACCTTCTACTTTTTTCTATCTACTGTATAATACAACAAAGCTGCGCACGGTTCATTCATTCAAGAGGGGAAAAAGGAAACAATCTTGTGTGATTTCGGGATCAAATCGGTGAGGCTGAGACAGTAATTTTTTTAGCAACTAGCTATCTCTCTCTAGAAAACCAAAAACCAAGTTAAATTGAAAGATTGAGAAGCTTCTTGGAATTTTCTTTTGACAAACCTTTAGCATCTGGCCCTGTGGCGTGGGCCAAAGAGAAAGAGATGTGTTGAGGTGCCAAGCTTGCAGCATGGCATGCAATGGAGGGTCCACCAAAGCATGGGGGAATCCGGGTCAGGGATTTGGGATAGCAAATGTGCGGATGCAATACCTTCCCTCCCCTGCTGTTGCGACTAAAAACCAATAACGCTGCGCTTCTGCTGTTTTTTTAGCCTCTCATCATGGCATTGTACTTGTACTCTTCTAGTACTTACTTTTTCTAAGAGCACACAACCACTTATTGTTATTTTGAGTTACATCAGAGCGGATCTAGAAACATAAGTTAAAATGAGCTATTTGCATTATCGACTCATCGAGTAGTTAAAGCATCTCAGTGTAGGGGCTTAGGAGAAGTTTCATGCTTAGTAGTGGTAGACTGGTAGCAAAGGCTTGAGCCCATCCCACCTCAGTGTTTTTCTCTCTCGAATATGCAGGAGCTCTGCATATCATTTTCATTAAGGAGAAGAGCAGTCAGAGGTACAAGAATTGCCAGCAATATTGGGCTTGTTCGCTTGGAGAAATCTGGAGGAATCTGTGAGAGAGTAAACAGTGTTTTTCATCCATAAACAGTGATTTTCAGCTGAATATCATACCAGCCGAACGGCCCAATGTCGGCTGAGTGATAGAGGCTACATTATGAAAAGAAACAACCTAGAGTCGCTAGACCTGAAGGCAGAGCTATCTTGCTTTGATCATTTGAAGCCCGGCTGCCCCGGCTTCAATCCAGCGATCCACCTCCATCTTGATGATCTGGAGCAGGTCAGCGATCGAAGCGGATGAGTTGCGAAAACACCTCGCATTTCGTTCCTTAGAGATCAACGCGAACAGCGAGTCCAACCCCTTTAGTTGCTGACCATTGGCTAGCCCACGCAATCGTCGCCACTAGGTCAGAGTTGAAGGCGTTCCAGGCCAAGCGCTTGTAGCGCGTAGTGCCAAATTTCCCTTGCGAATGGGCAGGCTGCGAAACGGTCGTAGCTACTGGGTAACGAAATGGATAAAGGGTACTGTCAATAAGCCCGATCTATTGTTTCTTGAGCTTGGTCGCAGAGGTAGCATTGTTCTCTTGCTTCCAGCCCATGTCTCGCACGCCTATCTGCTGTCCAATGTCTGCGCCGAGCTGCCAGCCACAAGAAGATCCTTACTCTCAGCGGTGCCCAGGTTTCCGCAACCAGCCGATGGCCGCAGAATGTGGTGGCGCCATTGTGAAGCATGCTGTAATCCCACCTCAGTGCTAGATCCGCCCCTTTTTAATTAATAAAACAATAATAATTCTCTGCATAACAAAAAAATTTACCTTTCCTCTGTAGGCCGATAGAATCTGTGCGGCAAGAGCTCCAAGCATGGATCTTTCAAGAAAAGAGCTCCAAACATGGAATAACTCCATTGTCTTTTTGGCCTTAAAAAGTGGCCTGCAAAACACCCAACAACGGCCGAACCACTGCAAAAGTGCAGTAGCATATAAAGGCTACGCATTGTCGAATACATTGCGCGCATGGCATGCTCGTATATATAGTTGAATGTTTTCTTCCAGGTAACAGGGGCAGTGGGGCACAATAATCAGGCAATCAGCTCAAGCGTCTTCAGACTGGCTGTGGCTGTGGCAACGCACAATGGGAGAGAATCAGAGAATGATGTGGTCCCAATCGCTGCAGCTCAAAAGGTGAAAATGTTTTCGTCAACCAGCTCTGCTGCATCGCTGCCGCATTGAAGCCCGAGGGTAGCTCAAGTTCTCTCTTTCTCTCGCGCGGAGGGCTGCGCATCATTTCGTCTGCTTGTTTTGTTCCTCCTATTCTATTTACAACCTGATAATTTTGTGAAAGCCTTTTTTTTTTCTTGCAATCATTTCTATGTACATATTTCTGCATTTCTATTTAAAGGCCATCTGTGCATACAAATTCCTTAACGGCACATCGGGTAGGTAAAGCATCTTTAGACCCTCAAATCAAGGTCTATATTTAAAAATTGTAGGGGTTTTCTTACTTCCTGTTTATGATCAACTCCAGTAAAAGGTCTATACATTGCCCAGTCTGCTCCAACCATGCATTGGTTCTTTGGAGTTGAGGCAAACAAATCTAATGACTGTCAAAAGAATTTGCACTTGTTTGATATTTGTTGGACTGTGCGAGTGCGGCCATGACTATGTAAAAAAAAGAGCATTTGTTTGGTATTTGTGGACTATATATGTGAAGGCAGCTATGATTTAAATAAAAAAATACATTTGTTTATCCAATTACAGTTGCTTACCGTGTCGAGTAGGATGTGTGTGAATGGTAGTTTCAGAGAATGGAAGTGCATTCCTCTGTTCACCTTGCTTGGCTCCATGAGTTGAGAACTCTGAAATGGGAGCTCCGACTGTATGCTTCAATGGACTGAGAAGGGCCCGCGTCTCCGCGTCCGCGGTCGGGTATCCCAGCCCAGCAGGCCAGCAGGCCCGGGCCGGCCCGGTAGGTGGAGTCGCACATACTCCTACTTCGTACAGTACAGTCACACTTGCCCGGCCCCTCAGCGTTGCCTTGTCTTCACCCCAAGTCACTAGCGGACGGGGCTTTGGACCCATCGCCCACCGCCAGTACCAACCACTGTCCGGCAGGCTGTCGTCGTCCACCGGCCGGCAGGCGGCAGGCACTGGCACTTGCGCATCGGATCACATCAACTGCCGCTGCTGTCCAAGTCCAACAAGCAACGATTCCCTTTCCTTCCACTCCCCAAATGTCCGTGTGCCCGGCACCGGCAGTGGCCACCTTCCTCCTCGTCGCCCTTCTCGCGTGCTGCTGCCAGGCCGCACGAGCCATCCGGACGCACGGCGGCGGCGGCTATGTCTCCGCGGTCGGGGACCCCGGCATGCGGCGCGACGGCCTCCGCGTGGCCTGGGAGGCGTGGAACTTCTGCAACGAGGTCGGCCAGGAGGCCCCCGGCATGGGCAGCCCCCGCGGCGCCGACTGCTTCGATCTCGGTCCGTCTCCCTCCCTCGTCCCGTGCACACATTAGAATGAATCGCCGATCCCGCGCTTCTCCCCGGGGTGGCCGGTGGGTCGGTTGCCATGCCACCAAGATTCGATTCGGTTTTCTGAGGACGACGGATTGCATGCGTGGATCTTTCTTCCGCAGAGACGAGCTCCGATGAGCACGGGCAGCCAGTGTACTCGGTGGCGCACCTGGTGAGCGACGCCGACAACAGCCTGGGCGCGGGCGACCCGTTCCCGGGGTCCCCGCCGGGCGCGGCCCGCATCACCGACGCCGACCTCTACGCGCCGGCGAAAGAGCTCTACCTCGGCGATCGCTGCCAGGTGGCCGACACCCCGGCGCCGTGGCAGTTCTGGATGGTCATGCTCAAGAACGGCAACCTCGACACCACCGCCGCCATATGCCCCGAGAACGGCCGCCCCGCGCGCCCGTTCCCGCAGACGTCCCGCTTCCCGTGCCCCGGTGGAGCCGGCTGCATGAACCAGCCGCTGGTGTTCCACAACCGCACCGCGCTGGACGACGCCAGCCGCTGGCTCCGTGGCGGCCTGTTCGGCACCTACGACCTGGACGCCGACAACCGCCTCGGCGCCGACGACGTGTCGTTCTACTCCGTGACGTGGGAGAAGGAGGTGGCGGCGACCGGCGGCGGCGGGTGGGCGTTCCACCACAAGCTGCGCACGTCCAGCAAGTACCCGTGGCTGATGCTGTACTTGCGCTCCGACGCCACCAGGGGGTTCTCCGGCGGCTACCACTACGACACCAGAGGCATGACCAAGCAGGTGCCGGAGTCGCCGGACTTCAAGGTGCGGTTGACCCTGGAGGTGAAGCAGGGCGGCGGGCGCAACAGCCAGTTCTACCTGATGGACATGGGCAGCTGCTGGAAGAACGACGGGCGCGCCTGCGACGGCGACACGGCGACGGACGTGACCCGGTACAGCGAGATGATCATCAACCCGTCGACGCCGGGGTGGTGCTCGCCGTCGCGGATCGACCAGTGCCCGCCGTGGCACACGTTCCGGAACGGCAGCCGCGTGCACCGCACCGACGGGGCCCGCTTCCCCTACGGCGCCTACCACGTGTACTGCTCCCCCGGGAACGCGGCGCGCGCGGAGAAGCCCACCACCTACTGCGACCCCTACAGCAACCCGCAGGCGCAGGAGATCCTGCAGCTGCTGCCGCACCCCGTGTGGGGCGAGTTCGGCTACCCGACGGCGAAAGGGCAGGGCTGGGTCGGCGACCCCAGGGCGTGGGAGCTCGACGTCGGCGCCATGTCGCACGCGCTCTACTTCTACCAGGACCCTGGCACGCCGCCGGCCAGGAGGCGGTGGACGTCGCTCGACGTCGGCACG